ACTTAAATTCAAGTAATTGTTAAAAATAAATGATCAGAATGAATTAAAAATTTACTAATTTGAGCACTTTTTATTAAAGAATTATAAAATGAATTTTTAACTTATAATAATATTAATTTAAATAAAAAATAGGATGTTTAATTTGAGTAAAATGCAAAATTAATAAAGAAGCGCAATTTTATACATTACATAATTTAGACTGTTATATTTATTATTAAATATTGAATAATGTAGTGTATTGTAATTAAATAAGAAATACTCTACAATTGCATCCATTATAGCAATTCTGATTATACATAGAGATAACACCCTTTGTCTAGTATTTAAGTGTAATAAATAACAATAGAGTTACATTAGACAATACTAATATGATTATATTATTCATAATTTATCATGTTTTATATTTATAATTTATACACAATACGGTATATTAATACGTATTAATTTTACAGTAAAAGTAAAATCAATAAAAATATTTTTAAAATCAAATAATAAATTCTGTAAAAGTGTTACAAATACAGTATTGTCATCCGAGTATATTTAAACTCTACAAAAATGTCTTCAATACTAAACATATTTAATATTTGCGACAAAATACCGGAAACTACTAAAAGGTCCATAAAATTGTTTCATGTATTGAACGGATGGGACGGACCTAACATACTATTCGTGACAAACGAGGACCGGGTGTACGGTATGGGCGCTAATAAGAGCGGATCACTGGGTTTGGGTCATAACAACACAATTGAGTCACCGGAACAGATCCCTGGGCTGAATGACCAGAATATTCGTGAGTTCATGATTGGCAGCAATTTTGTGATCGCTTTAACCTCCGAATCCAAAGTCTACGGATGGGGTTGTAATGGGAGCGGACAGTTAGGTCGTGATCGCAGCCCTCAGTTCATATACCTTAAGCCGGGGCTCATAGACTACTTCGCAGGCAAAGGTGTCACACAAATTAGTTGCGGTTATCTACACTCCCTGGCCCTTACCACCGATGGCCGTGTCTACGGATGGGGTGACAACACGAACGCACAGTTAGGTTTTGACAACAAAACCACAGACCACTCGACCCCAACCCCCGTTGAGATCAATCTACACAAAGACCTGATAGTAAAACAAGTCTACTGTTTCGCCAATTCATCGTTTGCAGTGACAGTGGACGGGGAGGTGTATAGTTGGGGCTATAATTATGAGGGCGAGTGCGGGCACGACATCTCCGAGCTTATAGTTAATCCCAGGCTCATCAATAGCCTGGTCAACGTGAGGGCTGTTAGTATGTCACAGAATCGGACCTACTTTATCACCGATGAGGGACTGGTATACTTTTGCGGTCAGTATAACAGTAACACCCGTTGTTATGAGTATTCCAAGCAAATGGAGCCTAAACTCTTAGAAACGGACCTCCGATTTACGGACATACATATGGATCTCTCTAACGGAGATCAGGTGTCATTCACGTCAGCCCTAACTGGCCAGGGATTGTATAAGATTATGGAAACCAATGAGATATTTGAGACATTTTACGATAATATGTTTGATTTCTATGCAAACGTATATCAGTTGACGTATAAAACGGTTGATTTGAATGATTACAGGGATTGGGTCCCAAAGGAGAGACCTGAATATGCTTTGAAATCTAAACAAAATTTTTGCTTAAATTTCCCCAAAATTGATAAATCAATTGAAGGCTATTATGATAATTGTTTTGATGTGTTGGAGGAGTTGAGTGGATCGGGAGGTTTCAGTAAAGTGTTTAAAGTCCGACATAAGTTTGATAATCAAGTCTATGCTATAAAACGCTACGAATTAAAAGGTATTAATTTTTATAATATTGTAAAAAATAATATTTAATAAAAATTATTTATTTGCAGAAAATACTGATAAGCAAAATGTAAATAAAAATAATATAATAAGCCTTCGGTCGGCACATGTAGTCCAGTACTTCAACTCATGGACAGACAGAAAATATCTATACCTTCAGACGGAATACTGCGCTAAAACTCTACAGAATATACTCGAGGAAAAGGGACAGGTATTCAGTCGTGATGTAGGCGTTGCCATGAATGTAGTCGAGTACTACATGTCGTGTCAAATATTCTCTGAACTCTTAGAGTGTGTTAAATATTTGCATGAATTGTCTGAACCGGTAGTTCACGGGTCACTCAAACCACAGAATATTCTGATTGATGTAAACGCCAACTATGGGTCATATTTGAAGTTATGTGACACTGGGTTGACAGGAATTCACGATATGGTATGCCATAAGGAACTGGATGAAAGTACCAGAAAGTATTTGGCACCGGAAGTCATTGCAGGCAAACTGTATGACCACAAGTCAGACATTTATAGTTTGTCTCTAATAGGGCAGCAGTTGTTTGAAATTGATTTCGAAAAGTATGGAAACAGATTTAGCTTGTATAATTATGTGCCTAAAGTGTTATCTAATCTGATCTATAGTGATCCGGCTCATGCAATTTATTCTGGTGATTTGCAGCTATTATACAGTAAATTAAGTGACGTATTGCTGTCAATGATGACAACCCCTTACTTCAGGAATAGACCCGATTGTAGGCAAGTGTTGAGTAGTTATAGTGATTGGGCTGTAGATGAAAATGCTGTGAAATGTGCCGAAGATTTTGATATAATATTAGAAAAACTTAAATCTAACGAAAACCTATTTTACTATAACTTTGTGAATAAAAAGTTAAATATAAATTGATATCAGAAATGAATATTACAAATTAATTATATTTAACACTAGAAAATATTTTTATTATTACCATTCACACAAATTAATTGTGTTACAATATGGTATTGTAAATATTTCATAGCACCGATAAAAAATCAATAACTCTGATAATAAATAAAAGTTTTATTATATTTCATTTACAACAGAGATGTGCAACCGGATGTAATAAGCAAACATACTGTCTGAACACTATGATGCAAACACTTACATTTGACAAATTACATGACAACATACAATGTAGTCCATCTTATGTCCATTTTATTTCCACAT